ACCAACTAGAGGCCTAGGAACATGAACAATAGCTCTAGAAGCTTCTACAACCCTCTATAATTCATAACACGTCATCGCTCCTTAGTTACCCACAAGATTGGTTAAGTTATGACATAATTTATCTATAGGTACTCTGACCTTGGACCTCCTTTTCACTTCCTATAGGCTAGGAACCCAAGAGATGGTTCTATGGGATTCTCTTACGTTCACTACATGATTAGCAAGCTAGTTGTGGGTCGCACTTGATTTCTAATACATTTACCAAGCCTGGTTAGTCATGGAAAGTCATGGAAAATGAGAGAACTACACTCCTTTGGCATAAATAGGATTGCCCTTTCCTTAAGAAAGGGCAAGCAGGCAATACAGTAAATCGACTAGCACATACTTCCCCGTCTTTTACAAGCTTCCAAGCATTCATCTTGTTACTCCTTGTTTCTGAAAAGTCAGTGAGGTGTTAACCTCTGACTTACCCCTGAGTTCCCAGACTCAACATTTGTTGCAACTTGTCTGAACAACTTCACTACATCACACACCTGATTGCTGCGTTGTGGAATAGTCTAAGCTACAACCCTTTGGCTCTGTTTCCTAAGACAGTGTGTTGTCTTAGTAAAATCATCCCTTCCTTGGGTGGCTAGATTCTCACATCTGGTGCACCCACCATTACAGTACTCGCGAAGTGTGGCCAGCTCAGTTTCCGATAGATTGTATACTGGCCCATACAGTGGTTCCTGGGTTCCTGTATCAATGGCGTGGGTTTTCCTTCCTAGCTCTGGGAGGTCCTCTGCCTTCTCCTCGGAAAAGACGTCAATATACGCCTCGTACTCCTTTGGGCACTAGGTGAGCATATTGTCTTCCGTGCTCAGAGCCAAGACAAAGGCCTCCCACTTTTCAATGTCCTTCACCTTGCGATATCAAAGGGCTGCCGCCAGGTCTGTCTGCGCCAATCAATTTGGGGGTTCACTTGCGCTATCCAGTCCATGCCCAGGATGACGTCTACACCTGGGGTGTCCATGGAAAGGAGGGTTTGGGTGACTACACACTCCCTTTTGAAGTGGTCCCTTGTTTGGATCTGGGTGGTAGCTGCCCCATATATCATAATATCCTTTCCATCGACTGCCCTTGCGCGTAGGGGTGCCTTGTCCCGCCATTCCAAACCCTTCTCTTTGGCAAAGAGAGGTTGGATAGTGGACGCGTCTGACCCTGAGTCGATAAGGGCTCGCGCCTTGTGCCACTCAGAACCTACTTGAGACCTCAATTTCCATCCTCTTTGTGGCAGTGGGCTTTGGAGGTTCTACTGGGAGTCACCCCTTCCTATTTGGGCTGGGCATTCCTTCGATAGGTGGCCTGTGTTACGATGGTCATAGAGGTCATGATGCCAGTCCAGGAAAAGTAATCTAGATTGAATCTAAAGAGAGAAGAAGAAGAAGAAGGAAGGAAGGTGAGGCTATTCCTCATAACATACAGTTGTCTGCTTAGCGGTTGTAACCTTGTGGCTAAGGCTACACCCGTAATCCCCATAACAACCGTAACAACCGTAACAACCGTAACAACCGTAACAACCGTAACAACCGTAACAACCGTAACAACCGTAACAACCGTAACAACCGTAACAACCGTAACAACCGTAACAACCGTAACAACCATAACAACCATAACAACCATAACAACCATAACAACCATAACAACCATAACAACCATAACAACCATAACAACCATAACAACCATAACAACCATAACAACCATAACAAGCTGTAACAAGGTGTGAGCTGTAATCGTAACAGCCTGTCCTGCTGCAGTTGTAACACGTCCTGTCTTCAGCGTGCTTCCTATCGTTTCCTCGGTAGTAGCTCTCCCTTCCTGTTGAGCGTTGGCTATAGCTGCCCCGAGAGGAGGTCGCCTCGCCTGGGGTTGCGGGTTGGGATCCTCGATGGTTGCCAAAGCGGCCCATCCTGTTGCTGAGGCTGCCTCTCCAGTTGGAGGAGCCTCCTCGTGAGGAACCCCCCTCGTCCCTTTGGCTATTCTTGTGGCCATCAGGGTTCTTCTCAGAGACCCAGCGGTTGGTCATTTCCAACATCACAAGGAGGTTAACAACAATGTCCCTGCGGGTGGAGGATCGCTCAGCGTGCCCCCCTTCAAGGAGTCGTTGTCTCATTTCTGGGTGGATCTTCGTCAAGAGGTGGGTGGTCTTCTGCGCCTCAGTGTCATACTGACATTCGTTGCACTCAGTTTGCTATCAAACTCAAGAGCAAACTTAGAAATCTCCTGCTCAAACCTACAAGTCACTATACATATTTTGGCTTATCACACCAACAACAAGAGCAATACTACTCAGCTATTGCTACAACCCTCTATGATTCATTACACGTCATTGCTCCTTAGTTACTGGCCGATATGACCACATAGCATATCTCTACAACCCCTATGATTCATTACATGACATCACTCCTTAGTTACTGGGCTAATACTACACATGACATATCTCTATCAACTAGAGGCCTAGGAACATAAACGATAGCTCCAAAAGCTTCTACAACCCTCTATGATTCATTACACGTCATCGCTCCTTAGTTACCTACAAGATTGGTTAAGTTATGACATAATCTGTCTATAGGGGTACTCTGACCTTGGACCTCCTTTCACTTCCTATAGGCTAGGAACCTAGGAGATGGTTCTATGGGATTCTCTTACGTTGACTACAGTTACCAAGCCTGGTTAGTCATGGAAAGTCTTGGAAAATGAGAGAACTACACTCCTTTAGCATAAATAGGATTGCCCTTTCCTTAAGAAAGGGCAAGCAGACAATACAGTAAATCGACTATCACATACTTCCACGTCTTTTACAAGCTTCCAAGCATTCATCTTGTTACTCCTTGTTTCTGAAAAGTCAGTGAGGTGTTAACCTCTGACTTATCCCTGAGTTCTCAGACTCAACATTTGTTACAACTTGTCTAAACCACTCCACTACATCATACACCTGATTGCTGCATTGTGGAATAGTCTAAGCTACGACCCTTTGGCTCTGTTTCCTAAGACAGTGTGTTGTCTTAGTAAAATCATTCCTTCCTTGGGTGGCTAGATTCTCACATCTGGTGCACCCACCATTACACTCGGTATATGGGTCCATTTCGCGCTTGAGGTCCTCAAGATAGGCCACAAACTTGCGGATACTCTGCCCTTTCCTTTGGGCAGCTACATTATACTTGAGGGCTGCAAGACGCTGTCAGTTGGCCGGGTCGACGTGGAGGTCTCGGAGGAACTCCTCGAAACCTGTGATATCCAGAAGGTCAATGTACCCCTCGACCTGTCGCACCGATGGTCCCACTCCTTCATAGGGTGCCCTTCTAAGTACTGGGCTGCGAAGGCCATCTTCGACTGTTCAGTTGGAAAGACCCTTGGTTGGTATCAGAAAATGGCGCGGAGGGAGGCCATGAACTCGTTGAGTTCGCGGGTAGACTCACCCTTGTAGACCTTTGGTTCCTTAACCCTTCCAATTGGCCTTTGGGCGGGTGCAGTCTCCCTAGACTCAGTGGAAGCTGTGTCCTCCTTGCGTCCTTCCAGACGGGGGTCCTCCCACTCGTCCTCGATGTCTTGTCGCCTTTTACGATGACTTTCTTCTTGAATTTGGTCTTGCTTCCTTGCAAAGTCCTGTAGGGCCTCAGGATAGGTGTTGTAATTGTCACTGTGCGATCCTCGGAATACTTCTAGGGCTTCCTTCATTGTGTTGAAGTAGGCCCTCTCTTCTTCCACTTGCTTCCAAAGGTCGGCCAGCTTCGAGGCCATATTCCCGCCTTGGTCGGCCACCAAGTCATCAATTTCTTGGGTCGTAGGTCCTGGAGCTGCCTCGGTGGCCTCGGTGGCTGGTGTCGCTCCCCCCGAGGTCGCTCGAGTAATCCGTCTTTCCAAACTTGCCATCCTGACCCAGTAGGCTGGATATGGGTAGAGTCAATAGAATTGTAATGCGTAAGCCCAAGGTCTCACAGGAGTCCAGGGAACCAGGTCAAGGGGCAGGAAAGGGGTATCATATTTGTAAGGACAATAGGTCTACATAAGTACAGTGACTATTGACTGGAGGCCTTATTCCGAGGCCTCCAACCCCTTTTATCTATGCACCTTGTGCCCTACTTTACTGAGCCCTATGGGCCCCTAATGAAAGGGACCTCACATGGTGGCATGTGATGGCCTTCCTTACACGTCCACACTGGTGTTGACAGCACCCCACCATTAATCGTAGTTGTAAGGAGTGCATTTGCAGAGCGTAAGGTCATCCCATCTGGGGGGGAGCTGTTGATAAAGACTCGGTCAAAAATATCATACTGATGTGGTGTTTTTGGCCAGTCAGCCTCTACTGATGGTTCAGCATTGAGCAGCATACGCAATGCTCGCTGGGGATTAAAAGGAAACAAGCCAGCGCCACGGTATGCTGACTCAATGTTCTGATGGTTGCATATATCAAGCTGTGCCTGGATGTATGCCTCCATCCATTTATACTTCTGTATGCGTGCAAGTTGTGCTTGGTTGAGTGGGGAGAGCGCTGCCGTTAGACGCTTTTTTAGCGGGCCGAATATCGCAACATCCAGTGGTTGTAGTAAGTGCGATGTATGAGGGGGAAGTATCAGTAATACAATATGGTTCTGCATGCAATGCGCAATGAAACTCCCGCTAATATGTGAGTCGTGCGTCGCATATAAGAAGCCAGTGCTGACCATCTGCTTTTGCGCATGTTGTTGGCTCGAAGATGCGTTTTAACCACTCCAACCCATGGAGGTTGCTTGTCCAGCCTTTTGTATTCGCAGAGAAGAACCACTGGTTGATGACTGCGGGCGGAATCCATGATTGGAGAATGTTCTTGCCCTTAAAGATCCCGAGGGGTGTGTAACGGGTGCTGCCGTTACAGTACATGTGGTATATAAAGCGTGTTACGCGTATTCCGGGCGAGCCGGAATACTGTAGTCTTTTTGGCTCAGTGGGATGTAGCGCGAGCGTAACCGTACATCATTACAGGACGTACATCCAAAAACTCACAGTTGCGTCAGAGCAACTTCGAGCACGCAGCATTGTCCACCAACTCGATGCCAACAACCTGCGATCAGTTATAAAGCGACGTACGGTACGTACGAAGGGGAAATTATAGAACCGGAGGAGTAAGTGTGTTGGATGTTCCTGCCGGTGGTGCTATCGTCGTCGTCGTGGCTGATTAGGGGGGACAGCCATTTTAGTACACTATGCATCCCCAATATTTGCCGGGTATTGCCATATCGCCCCCTATTCTAGACCCCCCAACTCGCTATAAAGTACTACAAATATCTTAGCGCATCCAAGCAATGCCTTAGGGTTAAACCTAGCTAGACAACCAAGCATCCCCCCAAGCTAGTGCTCGGTCGCTAGTCCGATCGATGTCAAGTGCTCGTTGACAACTTGGCGCGCAAATCCGGTAGCGTACCGGTAGCGTATCGGCAAGTGGGTGGGTGGTGGGCTGCGCGCTGCACGAATAGCGCCCATCCCTCACCAGTACGCTGTCCCGGCGAGTGCCCGGTGAGCCGTAATCCGCGGGCGAGACCAAGGCCGATGAGACGGGGTGATGTAAGGTCTCGGCGCCGCTGGAGGTGGGCGGCGGGCCAAGAGCCTCCGTGCTTCCCCGAGAGTCAGGAGGGGGACTATTGATGTGGGCTGCGAGGGCGAGTCAGTAGTGGTCGTGTCTCTTAAGGTTGACAGGCTGGCTGGCCTTCCGATTTCCACTTGCGCCATTGAACGCAACCAGACTCACGGGCAGACACTAACTAACCTGATCTTTCCCAGACTGCTTGCATGATCTCCGATGTCTCTCGCGAACCTGATTTTTCTCAAGCCTCTTGCATGATCTCCCTTGCATGATCTCCATGTCTCCCACCAACCTGATCTCGCCCAAGCGACTTGCTGATCCCCCCCAGTCCACCTGCATGATCACCACGCCTCGCCTCGCCTCGCACCACCCTCTGATCCCCAAGGAATCCCGCATCATCTCCCCCCCTCCCCTTCGCATGATGCGCGCAAGGGCTGTCGGCATCTCCACTTCCTTTCAATAGTCCGTACGGCACTCCCTCCATACGTGCATCCCTCGCTGCACCCCCCATCGCATCGGGCCTCTCAGTCACCGAAGCGGCGGCGTGCAGGACGTAAGGGGGTGGTGGGACGTTGGATCGGAGTCCTGCAGGGGGGGTCGAGATCGGGGTTTCTATTTGGGTTGGCGGATAGGATATATCCGGATCAGTATCCGAATCAGCTCAGGTCATACACGATCCGTGCCGAACACTGACTCTTGATCAACCATTAATTGACACTTACAATAAGGAATAGCGCCCAAGCAAACACCCTTATTTATACACGACCTGCCCAGAAATCTCATATATATTTTGGTCTGCTTGTTATACCTTTAATGATGCAATGATGCTAAAACGCTGGTATCACTTATCAAGATACCCTTCTCCTCTCTGTCACAGCGACTCTATATACCCCTTTACTTCAACAGACTCTCCTTGACACTGATGGGTCCCTCACCGACACCAGTGAAGATGACGCGGCTAAGTCCCTCCTGCAGCGCCTTCACTGCCCTCTCATCCAAATGCGCCGCATCACTCGTCTTAACCTCCGCTCCCTTACCCCCCCACCCCTCAACAGAGCCCAACACAGACTTGATAGCTCCCGCAACCTCAGCCATATGCTCCTCCTCAAAGTAGATAACGCAGTTTGGCCCAGCATCAAACGTATATGCCGCAATAATCTTGCCAGCCTTCTCGTTGATCGCCTCAACCACTCTGATCGCCGCTCTGCTGGTATCATTGAGGTAAAAGATGGGTGGGAAGGTATCCAAGCACGTAGCGTGGAAGCTGTTGCTCTCCATCATCGTAACCTTGCCGAACAGGTCAAAGTCCTTGTCCTTAACAGCCTTAATCATATCCTCCATGTGCTTTGGCACCACAACCTTCGCGCGGTGCTGGAAAAGCTCGGATGTTGCAACAGTAGTCTGCATGCCAGCCGTGCTGGACACGCCCTTCTTCTCAGCAGAGGCGATGAGGATCAAGGCACGCATATTGGGCCAGTGCGAGGCTGGCGCAATCTCAACAGCCTGGGAGTCCGATCCATCAGCCGCAGAGCCCATATCCCACGCCACGTATCCGCCGAAGAGGGAGCGGCATGCCGAGCCAGAGCCTTGGCGGGCGATTCTCGAAAGCTCGGTCTTCGTTGCTGGGAGCTGGTACAGGTCGCCGATTGCGCGGACCAAAGCAGCGAATCCGGCAGCGGAGGAGGCGAGGCCAGCAGCGGTGGGGAAGTTGTTCTCGGACACAATCTTCAGTGTCAATGTGGAGAGCTTGGGGAGAGAGGGGTCGGCGGCCTCGAGGGCGGCGCGGAGTGAGCGCAGTTCGCGGAAGCAGGCTTGCGTGCGTGCGCCGGAGACATCCTGTGGTGAGCCATTTAGGATGAGGGCGTCGTCGGATCCGAAGGAAGAGGAGCAGGCGGCGGTGGTGTGAGTCCTCAGGTCGCATTGGGAAAGGGTTACGGAGAGGGAGGAATTGGTGGGAAGGTTTAATTTGGGGTCACGCTTGCCCCAGTACTTGACGACGGCAATGTTGACGGGCGCAGTGGTGCTGGCCTGGTAGACTGTAGAATCGGCCATTTTGAATAAATTTGAATGCTTGTGGAGAGAAATGAAAAGGGTGCAATATAGAGGGGGGGTTGTTGGAAAGGGCCCAAAATTATCTTACGGGCGCTGGCCTAATTTTACATGGGTGATTTGCGGGCCATATGATGCTCGCCAGACCAGTCCAGGACTAGTTGCCCAGTACAATATCTCCACCGTGACAGTATTCAACACTATGAGAGACCTCTCAAGCGATATCCATGGCACCAAATATCCTTCAAGACCGAGCTAATAAACTCAGTGCTCTATGCTCTATGAGAGAGTATGGAAATAGCTGTACAATAGAGCGATTCAGCAGTGTTTGACAGTCGTCGGCTTGACACTGCCTGATCTGGTAATGCCAAGCAGTACTAGAGTACGGAGTACTACTAGATTATAACTAGATTATATTAGTATTAGAGCAATAGAATCCTTGTTTAGTGCTTACTGTACCTCTTAATTAGGCAATATCAAAAGGGTAAGGTGTAGGAAGTTGGTAGTTTTGGTGATATATTGTCAGTTTGGCGATATTGGCCTTTGATTAATTTTTCTACTTCAGTAAGTGCTTTTAGAACTAGGCGGGTGGGGGGAGGTGGTGCCGGGCGCACAAAGATACATCACGGTACTTCTTTGCCATACAAATATATATGAAAGTAGAAGTACCTATATATACCCTTTTGATACACTTATATAGAGCAACGTATATAGATCATCGTAAATACTTCTATACTACTGTATATTCGCCTTACAATTACATGACGTCTTTTCTAAGGTAATTACTAACTTATATTCTAACTACAATAGGAATCTGGCTGGCTGTTAGCCTTGAACAGATGATCTATCCGTACCATCTGAGGATATATCCGGATCTTACGGATAATGTCAAGAATAGCCAAGAGTAGCCAAGGCCACATAATAGACGTAGAATTGAGTGCCTGATCGGGTTGGGGGTTAAGCGCCTTTTGCTGTGTGGACTGGTGTTGTGTGGTGGTGCGGGATGGGGGGAAGTAAGAGGAGGGAAGGTATGTGTGTGTGGGTGAGGGGATGGGGAGTCTGCGCGTGGCGCGGCAGGTTTGTCTTGGGCTCGTGCGAGCAGGGTTAGCACAAATAATCATAATAATCATGACTAACGTGGTTGTACACCGAGTCGTGAATGTCGCCGAGTCGTGAATGTCGCCGAGTCGTGAATGTCGCCGAGTCGTGAACTTTTCCCTACTTAGCTACCTACGAACTTCAACACGCGTTTCCTCCACAACTACCAATGGAAATCCAAACCCAAGAAGCGCGAATCATTCTAGCTATTGAGGCTCTTCAAACATGTAAATCGCTTAATCGCAGGTCTGCATCAATACTATATAAAGTGCCTTATTCTACGCTTACTGATAGAATGGCCGGCCGACCTTCTCGACGCGAAACCAAAGCCAATAGTCATAAATTGACTGAGCTAGAAGAGGAAGTGATTATTCGAAATATATTGGATATGGATGCAAGAGGATTTGCACCTCGGCCTGCTAGTGTGGAGGATATGGCAAATTATATCCTTGAATCGCGTGGGGGAAAGCATGTTGGGACGCGGTGGGCATATCGATTTATACAACGCCGCCCCGAGTTAAAGACGCGTTTTAATCGCGTTTATGACTTTCAAAGAGCCTTGTGCGAAGATCCTGAGCTTATTGGAGCGTGGTTTCAACTTGTGCAGAACATGAGAGCAAAGTACGGCATCCAAGACTGCGATTTCTACAACTTTGACGAGACGGGCTTCATGATGGGCGTTATTAGCTCAGCTTTAGTTGTTACGCGCGCCGATCGACGTGGCAGAGGCAAGGCAGTTCAGCCTGGCAATCAGGAATGGGCTACAGCAATTGTTTGTGTGAATGCTGAAGGCGGGAGTATCCCTCCGTTTTTAGTAGTTCAAGGGAAATGTCACCTTTCAAGTTTGTATACTGAAGGCGGCCTTCCTCACAATTGGGTAATTAAACCAACAAGCAATGGATGGACCAACAACGAGACAGGTCTAGAATGGCTTCATCATTTCGATAAACATACTTGCAGTCGTGCAAAAGGACCATATCGGATGTTGGTTTTAGACGGGCATGAAAGTCACGAATCAGCTGCGTTTCAGGAATATTGCAAAGCAAACAACATCATAACTCTCTGTCTACCTCCTCACTCGTCTCACCTAACTCAGCCACTTGATGTTGGGTGCTTTAGTGTTCTTAAACGCATGTATGGGCGTCAAATTGAGACCTTTATTAAGGCTCATATAAACCATATTACAAAGGTTGAGTTTTTTATAGCTTTCCACGCAGCTTATAACCAGTCAATAACAACTCAAAACGCCAAAGCTGGATTTCGCGGAGCTGGTTTAGTGCCCTTTGATCCGCAAGTAATCATTTCAAAGCTAGACGTCAAGTTGCGGACTCCTACACCTACAGGATCCCCCTCTATAGACGCTGATCCTTGGGTTTCTCAAACGCCTCGCAACCCAATAGATGCTCTCTCACAGACTACTCTAGTTAAAAATCGCATTGCACGGCACCAAGGAAGCTCGCCAACCCCCATTTTTGCTACTGTTACTGCATTAGCTAAAGGGACAGAGATTTTGGCACATGAAATGACTTTATTGTCAGCTGAAGTCCGCACCCTTCGAGCAGCAAATGAAGCTCTTAGCAAACGCCGGAGGGCTAAAAAGTCTCGTGTCCGTCAAGGGTGTGCACTTTCTGTAGGGGATGCACATGATGATTTGTCCCAAAGGGCAGTTAAGGAGCAAATAAATCGCGAGAAGCGCTCTGGAGGGGTTGGTAGGAATGAGGGGCAACCAGGTGTACGACATTGTGGCACTTGCGGGGGGGCTGGCCATAATGCACGAACTTGTCAGGAGGTCATAGAAGTACTTAGCTCATCAGATTCTAAATAGTTTTAGTTTTAATACATGTTGTGGTTGTTTAATTATACCTTACAGTGGTGGGTATAAAAAAGTTTCACGACTCGGTGACATTCACGACTCGGTGACATTCACGACTCGGTGACATTCACGACTCGGTGACATTCACGACTCGGTGTACAACCACGTTATTCGAAATAGTCAAATATTACATAAGCATGATTATGATTATGAGTTTTTGATAACGTATTTCACAAGCGAGTTGGCCACCCAAGCAAGTTGGCCACCAAAACACCAAAACGCGTCAACTTGACTACAGTCAACTATGCCACAACCAACACAAGCCCAATCCTCAAATCAAGAGGGTAGAATACTATTAGCTATTCAGGCACTAAAGGAACGTCAATTTAAGAGTGTCCGAGCTGCTGCATTATCATACGACGTGTCACGTAGTACCCTTACCAACAGAATGAATGGAATGACCTCCCGACGTGATTCTACCCCAAAATCACAAAACCTAACTTCGTACGAAGAGTCAGCTCTTGTTCAGTATATTCTCGACCTAGATTCGCGTGGATTTCCGCCCCGGCCGCAAGCTGTGCAAGAAATGGCAGACCTACTACTCTCCGAACGAGGTGAGAGCCCTACTGGGAAGAACTGGACTAGTAACTTCATAACGCGTCGTACGGAACTTAAAGCAAAGTTTAGTCGGAAGTACGATTACAAACGAGCAAAATGCGAAGATCCAAAGATAATTGAAGGGTGGTTCACCCTCGTACGAAACACAGTCGCAAAATATGGCATCTTAGAGCAGGACATCTACAACTTTGATGAAGCAGGTTTCGCAATGGGAGTTATTGCTACTGCAAAGGTAGTCACAAGCTCAGAAGCAAAGAGCCGTCCAAAGACTATACAGCCAGGGAATAGAGAGTGGGTGTCAATTATCCAAGGTGTTAATTCGTACGGATGGGCACTCCCGCCGTTCATTATTTTCAAGGCGCAGAATCACCTCTCAGCTTGGTACGAAGACTCAGGATTACCAGACAATTGGGTGATTACGCTTAGTGAGAATGGGTGGACTTCAAATTCAATTGGGTATGAGTGGATTCAACACTTCAATCGACATACAAATGCTCGTACGGTCGGAACCTATCGCCTTCTTATTCTTGATGGACATGAGAGCCACATCTCTGCTCAATTTCAACACTACTGCACAGAACGGAAGATAATTACCCTCTGTATGCCACCACACTCATCACACATTCTTCAGCCTCTTGATGTGAGCTGCTTTGCGCCACTAAAGCTTTCGTACGGAAAGCAGATTGAAACCTTCGTACGGAACCGGCTAAACCACATCACAAAGCTTGAGTTCCTCTCTGCATTCAAAGAAGCATTCAAAGCTACGTTTACAGAGCAGAACATCAAGAGCGGATTCCGAGCTACAGGACTAGTTCCGTACGAGCCACAGAGTGTCCTCTCTCACTTAAATCTACGCTTAAGGACTCCAACACCTCCTATAGTTGAGAGTGACAATTGGACTTCAAAGACTCCTCAAACTATAAGGGAGCTTAACTTTCAAACAGAGCACATTAAGAACCGCATCGTACGACATCAGAATAGCTCTCCTACCTCAATTAATGATGCTGTTAGCTGCCTTGTTAAAGGGGCGGAAATGATGATGCATTCTGCTGTTCTACTTAAGGCAGAAGTTAAGGCTCTACAAGCGGCAAATGAACAGAAAAAGAGGAGGGAAAGGAAGCGCAAGAGGCGTATAATGCAAGGGGGCAGTCTCTCCGTACGAGAGGGAGAGGATATGCTTCAGAGTGCTGAGGTAGAAGCTCAAGTCCGTACGGAGGTGGCAAGTGAGCATTGTCGGCAGGTGGGTTCTACAGGCCGACAGAAGCGCTGTGGCATATGTGGTATTATGGGCCATAACTCCCGTACATGTACGAGGCACAAGGATTCAATTACGATCGAATAAGGGTCATTATGTAGGGTGGTGGTGTAGTAGTAGGCAGTAATAGTCAATTTTGGTGTTTTGGTGGCCAACTTGCTTGGGTGGCCAACTCGCTTGTGAAATACGTTAATCATGAATATTCATGATTATCACATGATGTTAGAATCACGTGGCCTAAG